GTGTCAGGGTGGGGAGGGGAGGCCTTCACACACCAGGATGGGCAGGTGGCAGAGTCACAGAGAGGTAGAGTGGGCCTGACAGAGAGCTGTGGGCCCGCCCACCACACTCCCCAACCGGAAAAAAGCCTCCACATGCAACCAGGCCTCTTCCTGGCGTCATCTTGACAGCAAGGCAGCACCCAGCTGGAGACTGCATGGGCCTGGTATAGCCCCAAGGGTAGGGTCTGGGGTGGGGTGGTAAGGGAGGTGGCGTCCCTGTCCTTTGAGGGTGAGGTGCAGCTCTGGCCCAGAGGAGAGCTGAGAGAAGCCAGGTAGTCAGCCTCCCCTCCTGCCCCTTCCCAGCCCCCACCCAGGAAAGACTTGGGAGGCAGGGAGGAGAGCCCATCACTTTCCACCCCGGGGAAGCGCTGAGGACGGTCCGGGCTGAGTCACCATGATGTGGTAGATGGATTCCCGGAAGCGCTGGTCTCGGCTCAGCCGCTTGGCCACCTCCTTCAGCTCCTCTATGTTGTTGGCTTCCAGCTGGGAGGTCATGATGGACTGGGACGGCTTCACTGGGGAGATGATGGCCCCACCCGCTGTGAACAGCCCTTCCTCCATCAAGGCTTGGCCCTGTCCCCAATCCCAGGCCACCTCCTTCACTCACATGCTGCTGAGCTTCTCCCAGCTCCTTCCCACCCACAGGCTCCCCGAATCCTGGGGAAACCCAAGGCTGGTGGAGCAGGTTCAAGGCCACACTGTCGGGCCTCAGAGCCGGGCCAGCCCTTCCCACTCTGCACTCTGCCCTCTTCCTGCCCTGTCACTGGCGGCCTGTGACCATCCCCATCGCACCCGGGCACAGACGCCCACACTCACTGTCATTCCAGGAGGTGCTGGACCGGCGCCGGTGGAAACGGCAGCTCTTGATGCGGCGAGTGGCCGCCTTGTGGATGTACACGGAGTTCTTCATGATGACCGGCATCTTGGCCTCCAGCTCCGCGTTCCGGATGCACTCCTCGAAGAACCCTGCGCCAAGCTCCATTGCATCCTCCTGCCCCGCCCGCCCCT